CTGTTACCTTGGAGATAGTAGATCAAGCAACGAATTTGCCTTATGCCATGCGGCTGCGCACCGTGCGACCTCGCGTCCACGGTGAGGACGTGCTGCCAGAGACAGCGGAGGAACTGAATCAGCGGTCCTTGGTGGAGACCACTAGCTCTATGCTTCAGGCAATTGGGGAGTCGGATCTGCGAGACGCAGCAGAGGAGAGGGGCTTGGCTGTTGCATCTGCCGTTGCTACGATCCAAGGCGTGCCCACGGTCATGCGCGGCAGTACTGTTTACCTGGTGGCTGACGTTGAGCTGGGTGAGGTTTACAGCGGTCGCTTGAGTGATATATTCGCAGCAGGGACTGCTGCCTCTTTGGAGGCTAAGGAGTACGCAGCGAGCCGAATGCTGCTGCAGGTGTTGCAGTTGCAGCACGCCCGATTCAGCCACAACAATCTGAAGCTTGAAAACTTTTTCATGCGGCCAGACGGCTCTTTTCTACTGGGAAACTTTGGCACTGGTACCCCCATAGGCGAGCGCCTAGACAGAGTCAGCGCTGTGGACCCAAAATATGCGGAGATGGAGCTAGGTGCCAACGCTGCAGCTGCTGAGGCTGAGGGGGAGGAAGATCTCGCCAAACCTGTAGTTGACGAGAAGTCGGATATGTGGGGCTTGGGTGTTTGTCTATACAAAATATTCACAGGCGGCGATATGCCTTTTGACCTGGCCTCAGAAGACCCTCCTGCATCCGTCTTCTCGTTTATGAAGGAACACAGAATGAGCGGGCAGGCGCTGCGTGGTCGGCTGACAGATTTGGGGGTGCCTGTCAGGTGGCAGGAATTAATTACAGGCCTCTTGGAGATTGATAGAGACGACAGACTGGACGCAGAAACGGTGTCCAGGGAGTTCCAGGATCTTCTACACCTGCGGGGTGTGTAGCCGTAAAGATTGGGACGCAGTTCATAATGGCGACCTACTGGTATTTTATGATCTTGGGATGGGAGCGTCAGCGTCACTGGCACGGTGGATGTTCAGGTGACACCAGTTTACTCTTCAATTACGAACCCAAGAAACTTTGAAAGCCGTGGAAAGTGGCGGCGTGCGTGTGCAGTGTGACTGCTTGTCCGGTGAGGATCCGCTCGAAATGAACAGTCATTTGATTCCTGGTATTTCGTTCAATTTCTTTGAATGCGCATCAGTAGTCACAAACACGTTTTACGTTTTTTCCACTTTGGCCATCGCTGGTTCTAAAGAGAAGGCGACAGGCCGAGAGGCTTTCCCGGGTGTGTGGAGAAACCATATTTCGTGAACTTCATGTAAAGTTTTAACGCAATTTCGAGCTCGGCTTCTATCCAAACTAGTGGCCATTATGGAGTACGGGTCATTGTGGAGTAGGATATCTATGGCTTCTCTAACTCGCTATCTTCTGCTACAGCCGTTCTTAGGCAACCCGGAGCAGCTCCTTGTTGCCAGCTACTGAGTGCTAGATTTTTGCATGATCTCCGCTGCCTACAGCTTCTCGCCGTTTAGGGTATAGGGGGTAGTTCGATACGAACCATCCCTTATACCCTAAACGGGGCAAGGAGCTCTCGGGGCCACACCCGTTCCCCGCTGAGATAGGCGACTCGCTTTTACGCTTTTTGCCGAGAAAATGCTCATTTGTAGTGTGCCTGCGTGCACTGGAGGGCTCCCCCCACCGCTAAATAAAGCCTTTATCCTGCTGCAGTTCTTTGGCAACAACTGTTCCTAAGTGAGCATCCTCCAGGTTTTTGCCGTCCCGCTGTCCTCTGTGATGGTGGGGATTGCTCATCCCTGCATAATGATAGACCATAGCGAATAAAGGAGTGTCCCGAAAAGGAGCAGTAATAAACCCTCAAATCTATATTACGGTGGCCATTTGTCTTGAAGGCTTCGAAGTCACCAGGGCTGTCCGAGACACAAGGGAACGGCGTCCCCACACACGCAACAAAAAAGATTCCTTTTCCCAAAATACATTCCCAGCACTTTTAACTAGTTTAAGGTACTGATCACAGTTCAAATAAGCTAAACGGGAACAGGAGACACAAAGCGTGGGGCCCCGTCTGCAGCATCACGTCTGTCGAACCATCGTGCCACAGGCAATAAAATGATGCTCTTTTGGCATTCCTTGACTCTAAATCTCGGCCTTTTGCCTTTATTATTTTACTTTCGCGAATAACTGCGTGAGGGAAGCACCGGAACTGCATAATTAAGCAAGTACGTTTTCCGGGCGCACTGTTGCTTCCCGTGATCGATCTCAGCTGCTTGCTGCGAAGCTAAACGAGTATGCAGCTTCGTGTGCCCCAAAATCGTCAATTTGCCTTCTCTTTCGAGTATTTTTGATTTTCAGACGGTCAATCTTTTTAGAGAGAGTTGTTCTTGGGCTTCCATTCTCCCCTTTCCATTATGGCCGCTTCATTCAGTTCTCTTGGGGAGGTTGGGCAACCCGTTGGTGGACAGGAAGATGTCATGAGCAGTTTGAGGGTCAGGGGGTCACAAGTCAGCGTGAATCAGCTTGCAGACGACGCTGATCTAACTCAGAACGAAAAAGTCCTTCTTCACATGAACCTGACGAGGCAGAAGTACAGAAGATGGGGGAAGTACGGCCTCGCAGCAATATTCCTGGCGGGAGGTATGCTGTCAAGTGCATTTATTGGCTTTTTAATGCGCCACGGAGCTGATGCCCTGTCAAGGAAGGCCTTATACGATAGCTGGGGAATAGCATCCCGCCAGGATTCGGCGTGGGAGTCTCCAACGCCGCAGCAGATGGAAGACCGGCTGAACAAACTGGGCATGCTGGGCAAAGAGCTCACCGCGATTGTTGCTAGCCGCACGGAGTATGACAATCCGCCTGTGCCTCAGCCTAAGGGTAGAGAGGCAATGGAGGCCCTGGCAATGCATGTTTCTGGCGGCAGGACACGCAATCTAATCGGCCAGACGGTGCATGTGAAGGACGTGCAAATACTAGGTTCCGATACGGTTGGGAGTTCCCCTATTCCCTTGAAAGTTACCCGTTACTTGGGTGAAACCGGTTCTTCAGTGACCCTGGAGGTCACCGACGTGAACACGAGGAAACTATTAGCACTGCACCTGAACATGGGCGACGTTCAACCGAACAACCCAGCGTCTGGCGGCGCAGCCAACCTTCTGGGTTCTCTACGGGTCATGCAGGAGACAACGGCTATCTTGCAGGCTGCGGGCTCCACTCCACTGGAGAAAGCAACTGCTGAGAGGGCATTGGATGTAATTGCTGCTGTTGGCACTTTGGAGGGGCTTCCCCCTGTGCTTGACTGCACGCACGTGCACCTGCTGAACACAGTGCAGATCAGCGAGAGGGTCCGCGGGAGGTTGGCGGATATTTTCATCCCTGAGAACAGAATGCCGGATAATGCGAAGGAGTACATGGCAAAACGAATCTTGCTGGCGGTGCTGCAGCTGCAGCGCGCTGGCTTCAGCCACAACAGACTGCACCTGGGGAACTTTCGCGTGAGGATTGACGGGTCCTGCCTCTTGACTGGATTTGGGGCCGGAACCATGATCGGAGAGGCACTTGACAGGGTGGAAGCTCTTGACCCGCGCTATGCCGAGAGGGAACTGGGCGCTGCAGCGACACGCAAGAGCAGCCTTGGGGCCTCGCATCCTGTTGTCGATGCCAAGTCCGACTTGTGGGGACTGGGCATCACCCTCTACCAGCTGTTCACCGATGGGAAGCTGCCCTATGGCCTGGAAGAATCAGTGTCACCTGTGAAGACGCTGAACAGCCTTGCAGCTCAGGGGGTTCGGGCGTCGAGCTTGGAAAAGTCGCTGAGAATGGCGAAGGTGCCAGTAGAGTGGCGGTCGTTGATTATGGATCTGCTTGAGCTGGAGAGGAAAGACAGAATCGACCTCGTGGGGCTCCTTTCAAAGCATAGCGTCCTGATCTATTCGTGAGCGTGTAGTGTATGTTGTCTGTGAACGAACAAGGCTTGCTCTCCTGGCAGCAGCGGAACGTGTTTTGTTCATGTTTACATTCAGTGAACGGCACTTTTGGGTCGCACTGGAACACTTGTTTTTGTTAAAGTGAACACAGTTGGAGCATTTGTCAAAGTGAACACGGTGCGTCGCCGCACGTGTAGCTGTTAAGTATGCAGCGACAGCTTTACGCAGAATGCGGCACAAACAGCCACCGGAGTTTCGCGAAGGACTCGCAGGTTAAGATGCATGCGTCTTGGGTATGAGAGTGATCGTACTCATCCACATTGGACGGTTATGCTTCGGTTGAAACTTGCCGGGCACGGCAGTCTCCCCGTTGCCAACAAGAAAGGCAAGAAAACTCGTTCTGGAGCTTGCCAATTTGGAACAGAGCGGCCCGTGGAGAACCGAGCTTCGTAGTTATTTGTGCAATGCATTTACACACATCGCGGTGGCAGTTCTGTACTGCAGTGGGCACTTACATTGAAGCTCCGCGCAGCGTGTACTAGTTGTAGCGAACTTGGATTCCGCACCTCCTAGTGATGTTACAGGAGAGGGCACATTGCGTAACTGTGTCTTTCCCTCCGCGTCATAGTGCGTACGCGCGGGGCATTCAGTTTGGGAAGGAGCTGTGCTGTTGCAGTGAGCAGTTCTGCAGCTACTTTCCGTAATCTGCAAGCACGTAAGCTGCAAGCACTAAAGAGTAACGGAGTAAAGTGCCCACAGAGGACGGCGGCTTCCACTGCTCTGTCAACGAAAAAGCGTGAAATTAGAAAAAGCAACCCTGCTTGGCTCGCCATTGCAGTGCCAAGTTGTACAACGCCAGCACTGGGGATGGGGTGTAGTCAATGGTGAAAAATACGATTCATTTCAATTGTCCAGATGACACTACTCTCGTAAGGAACGGAATGGGTGAACAGTGCTCTATGGCGCTGATTAGATAGAAGCGCCTCAGGCTTGCGCGTCCTGAAATGTAAGTCGCCTTATGAACAATATAGCAGATATCTTACGATTATGAAAATAAATTGATTTTACAATACTTCAACTGCATTAATCTTATTTTCCAGTGTCAGGCTGACCCTTTTTCTCGTCTGCTGCCCCTTGAGAACAGTGTTTATCCCCCCACACGTGTTCCTCCCTTCGGCTTCGCTTTGCCCTTTTCTTCTTCTTGACTCTACGAACATTGCCATTACTATCTAGTTCATCTTCGCTGCTGCTGCTGCTACTGCTGCTGCTTTCCCCGAAAGCCACGGGCTTATGGTATATGCAGCAGACTTTGCTGCTCTTCCTGCCCAAGTCTTCGTTATCGAGCGTACCCTCGACCCATGCGACCTGTTTCGGATGCTCTGTTGTTTCTTGCTGCTCCTGTGGCGTAGCTGCTGTCGATGCAGCAGGAGGTACAATGTGAATCACCGCAGGCGTGATGGTTTCGGTCCTCGTTTGGCTGGCCATTTTCGCGTTCAGTTGCACTCACAACGCGAGCACGAATCCGTACACACTTCAATAGGGTGCGGCGATACTGTGGGCCCTTAGGAGCAGTATGGACCTATGGGGAGGTTCTGTAACTTTGGCGGCGGTGAGCAGAAGTAACTCTCAATTCGTTCTGAAGGGTCAACTGCAACAGGGCAACTCGCAGAGAGCGCCAAGGACTAGCAGTAATATCGGTGAAAAGCTCGTTATCTTGAAGTCATTTTTCAGTATGCGGCACCTCTATAGCTGCTGAATGGCGTTTGCCTCAGCTCACTTTGCTCCAACTGCTGTTCAGGGCCAACTGCTGGTAACTCCGTCCAGGGAAATTGGGGGGTGCAGCTGGCTTTATGGGTCATCGAAGACATATGAACACACGAATGAGTTATTAAAAGCAGTCAAAAGTGGGAAGAAAGATGTGGAATAAGCAGTGAGGAAGAAAAGATGGAAATCTCATCCGCCTTCAGTGCGAGCGAGAGGTGAGGCGCGCTGCCGGCTTCATAAACAGGCGGATTTCACAAATTATTTGCAACTGGTGCTGCAGGATGACATTCTCAAACAAGGAAACAGCTAAAAGAAAGGAGAGGAAGTATGTGCAATTCCTCAAGAAAGGACTAATACTCAGCAGTGCTAGGATGGGGGCGACATAGTGTAGCAGCAGCATTGGGGCCTCGGCAGCAGCGGGGTGTTACTGGACAGAAACAAGGAAAGAGCTGGCCAGGAAAGAAGACGTGGGAATTTGCAAAACAATTCCATTCAAGGGATTACAAGAGCAGCCCGTACATTCCCACGCTCTGTGGCTTGATGCCTGTGCCGTCTTGCATTTACCACGGAATCTTCAGGAGCCGTTTTCATTGAAGTAATAGAGCAATTAATTCACTAGGGAGGAAACACTGATCATAGTGCATCAAATACGCGCTGAAATACATCAGTTTTTCTCCAGGGAATAAAGTATATGACTCTTGCCCAAAAATTCAGATTTTCCGGACTGGGTTGCTGGGACTGCTTTTCTCGACGTTATTTCGGTTTTTAATTCATGAACAGCATTAAATTTCATATTCGATCGTCTCACAGAATTTAAACGGGACCAAGGGGAAGAATTCAGTGCTCTTTTTCCCACGTTTCACGAACTTCCAGCAGCTCACACGGCTTCTGTCGAAGGCCTACGGCTCTGTTGATTGTCGACGGGCCTCTCGGATCTCCTCACGACATCTGACGGCCTCTACCTGGAAATGGATGAAGACAGCAAGACGGCTGGAGGGTGAGGAGGATGTTTCTTGCCTTTCACCCCTCACAACAGCATGGCAGTGTTTACCGGCCGTTGCTTTTCAGGATGTATGGCTGGGGCCTCTGAAGGCAGCAGCCAGATGGTGCTAGTGCAGTTTTCAGTTTCCCTTTATTGCCCTGGCGATCCCACTTGAAATTCTCAGCGCGTTTACTGCGTCTTTTTTTCCTGAGGTAGCGTTGCAGGTCCGGGCGGTGTCTTGTGCACACAATTTTTGGGTGTGCTTTCACAGACAGGTGCTGCATTTAGACTTCCTGCTTTTGCTCCCTTGTATGGAGTTCCTCTTGCAGGTCTGCGAAGGCGAGCAGCGCTGCCCTTCCTGCTGCTGCGTCTGCAGCAGCAGCAGCTGCTGCAGATGGCTGGGAGGTGCCCGACAGAGCAGCTGGGGTTGCCCGCAACATGGTGCTGATGCCTTTAAGGAGTCGACGGACCTGCGTCTTCATGGGTGAGGAGCATGAGGCGGCCATGCTTGAGGGTTCCTCTGATCAGAGCTGCGGCGCGCCCTCTGAGGAAGGAAGCACAGAGTCGCAGCTAGATATTGCCCTTCTTCCTGCGTCTGCGCTGCCGGCCACCTACCCGGGTGTACGTACACCTGAAGGCTCTGGTATTCCGCACGAAAGAGCCTTGGGAGCCAACACCACATGTGTCGCTTACGCTGTCAAGCCGGGGGTGGTTCGCGTGGTGCGTGTGTTGGACCATCAAGCGATGCAAACTGCCTCTGTTTGTCGAGTAAGTTTATTTATTTCTCCTTTTGCATTATTCCCTTGGTGTCTGCATATGCTAAGTGGTGCATATCCCCCTCCTTTTCTGTTCTAACTGCGTTCTGCCTGTGCGCGCGTGCACTACACAGACTGGTCGTTGCATGCGTGTCTGTGCGGCATTTTCTCCTTCTATCTCTCGCTATCTTTCCGCAGAGTATGTCTTCAGCATTAGAGTTTGTGTTTTCAATTTTCTTCCCCGTTTCCTTCTCAGTTGCTGCTGCCCAGCCCCCCGCCGGAAGCTGCTTTCCCGCGTTCAGCAGTTCAGATTTCTCTGTGTCAGGAGAAGCCTTACTTGTTGCTGCTGACGGACAACTATGGCCTCATTGTCCTTTACAAGAAAAAGGCAGACACAACTTCCCCACAGGGGCCCCAGGGGCCCCACCCTCCTACAGAAGCAGAGGGGGCCCCGTCGCCCTCCCCAGTGGGCGGGCCCGGACACACAGCCGACAGCGCGGAGCCTTTTGTGCAGCTGCAGCTCGACCTGCAGCAGCACGGGCCTTTGCTCGACGCTTTTTGGCTGCCCCCGCTGCAGCAGCAGCAGGAACTGCAGCAGGAGGGGCCAGGGGCTGCGGCAGCAGAAGCAGAAAAGACAGAGGGTGGCTGCTTCTTCGTGACAGTGCAGCGCCACAGAGTTGCAGTGTGGTCTTTGCCTTTGCTCCGTATCCTCGGGGTCACACTTAGACGAGAACTACAGACAGAGCCCCTGACGGTGGGTGTTGCCAATAAGCACATGCATGCATATTTATAGACAGTATATTTATACATACATATATATATGTGCGTGGAGGCGCATGTTGAATGTCGTGTCCAACATGCAAATATTTCAGGGTTCATGTTCACACAACCACGTGTACCTGTGCACAAATAAATCTCTGTAGCTAAGTAGCTTGTCTGTTCACGAAGTGCAGCAGCAGCAGCAGCAGCAGCTGCAGTAGTAGTAGGGGTGGTGGGTGTACCTGCAGCGATAATGAAGGCTGCCGCCGTGTATTGTGGCGCTGCTGCAGGCAGAGGAGGCAGAGGCTGCGGACTGCTGCTGCTGTGTGTTGCCACTTGAGGAAGCAGTAGCAGCACAGGCTGCACATGACCCTTTCAGTGTAGGCAGCAGCAGAGAGAGACCAGTAGTTTGCTCCGTTTGCTGCGCTTCAAGAGAGGGTTCCTTACTAGTTGGCCTTGGGGGGAAAGTTGTGACAGCGTGGCATCTCAAGGTAAGCAGGGTTCAGGTGTCTATACACCTCAATCCTTCACCTGCCTATTTTGTTCTTGCAGCTGCATGAGAACTGCAAAGAAAGCTGGACTTAACAGCGTATGTCCATACGAGCGCGGATGCGTATGGTACTGGGGATTCTGTTTCTTTGGACTTGCTACCCTGTTGCTGCATATTTGCAACAAGTGGTACATCTCTTCCGGGTCTTGTGTTACTGCTGCTGTGCTGCTGCGCTGCTGCTGCGCTGCTGCTGCAGGTGCACCAAAACGGCCTTCGGGGCGCCACGCTTCTCGGTGCTGTGCAGCTGCCAGCGGGGCCTGATGAGGCTGCTGCGCCTGCAGAATCTGCTGGAGCTACGGCCCAGCAGCAGCAGCAGCAAGCTGCAGCAAACACCAATCCTTTTTTCTCGTATTTTGGCTCTCTTGACCCGACGAGCATCATCATGCGCAACAAGGAGCAGCAACAGCAGGAGCAGCAGCACAAGCAGAAGCACAAGGACAAAGTGGCGGACCACTTCCAGCTGCTAGTTGTTTACGTCAAAGGACCCGTAACTACTACAGAGTCCATACCGCATTTGGTGGTTTGCTCAAAGGCTTCATTTTACGTGCAAATATTCCCTATTTACATCAGAGAGCTGCTGCAGCAGCAGCGGCACCACCAGCAGCAGCAGCGGCATTCTCTTCTAGGGGCCTGCCAGCAGACGCTGTGCTTCGGCTCGCCTAAGGATATTGCCGCCACCCACGGCAGCAGCAGCAGCAGCAGCAGCAGTAGCAGCAGCAGAAACAGCAGCAGCAACAAAGGTCAATACAGCCGCTAAGTCGGCTGCAGCACCATCAGAGGCAACCGCACAGCCATCAACGGACGGCGATAAGACCGCAGCACCAGCAATACCTGCTGCTAATGCTGCTAATGGCCCGTTAAGGGAACCTGCGGACCACAGCAGCAGCTCTTTAGCTAAAGAGGCAACATCTGGGGAAGAGGAGTCGCGGCTAGCTGCTGCTGCTGCTGCTGCAAAAACCTCTGGGCCGTCGAGGCCTGCAGCTGAGGCCGGAGCGCCAGCTGCTGCAGCAGAAGCTCCTGCCCCGCCAAACTCTATAGCTGATGCCGGGACTGCAGCAGCAGCAGCTGCTGCTGCTCCGGCTGACCCGGCGATTATTATTGCCCTCCCTGGGCCTCCCGCAGCAGCAGCACCAGCTGCAACGGGAGCAGCCACATCACCAGCAGCTGCAGCAACAGCAGCAGACAGGGACTCTGCATCGAACGGGCTGCTGCAGCTGCTGCTGGGTGGAAACAAGGGAACCAAGAATAAAGGCAAGAGCAGCAGCAGCAGCGGCGGCAGCAACAACGAAGATTTCGTTGCTGCTTCGGCCTCGAGCAGCAGAGGCCGATCCCCTTCTGCAGCATCAACTCCGTTAGCAGCTGAGAGGACAGGCAGCAGCCCCCGCCTCGCTGCTCCTGCTGCTTCTGCTGGTACTCCTGCTGCAGCTGGGATAGGCAGGGGCCGCACTAGCTACAGAGGAGCAGCAGCTGCAGAAGGTTCTTGCGGCTCCGTGTCACCGCGCGAGTCTCCTGCTGGTGCTGCTGCTGCAGCAGATGCGCCGACTGAAAAGACAAAGTCGCCCTCAGCAGCAGCCACAACGGAAGCAGCAAAATCCAAACAAGATCCCGCCCAGATTCAAGGTCAGCCTGGGGGACGTAGGAGGGGGAAGCAGCAGCAGCAGCAGCAGCAGCTTGCTGGTGGCTCGACGTCACCTCGTTTAGAACCTGCAGCAGACTCGCCACCGCCGCAGCAGTTGTCTGCGGGAGGTGCAAAGACAGCTTCTGGCAGTGGAGTTACCAAGGTGAGCAGCAGCAGCAGCAGCAGCAGCAGCAGTTTGCTGGTTTGCCCTCTGCTTCGTTTCATCGTACAAAACTTACCCGGTTTTTGTTCTTTCGTTTTGCTGCTGCAGCCTACAACGGACAAGAAAGGATCGAAGCCAAGGGAGCCCTGTAAGCTTTGCTGCCATTCTTGCCGCTGCTGTTTCTTTTCTTGCTGCTGGTTCGCCTGTCACTGTTGCAGCAGCAACAGCCGCAGCTACGCTGCGGGTGTTGCTGCTGCAGCTGCCCCTGCGCCTGCTTGCGCTGCTGCTGCTCCGCTGCATGTGCCCACGCACAGTGCGCTGTGTCCCGTTGCTGTTGCAGCAGCGGCAGATGTTGCCTCCGATGCCTCAGGGCAACCGAGCGCAAGCAGCCCACTGACGTATGGCGCTGTTGAGTCCTTGCTGTCCAAAGTCATGGAAGACCTTCCCCAGAAAATTTCAGTATGCTGCAGTTGCGGTTGCTGCTGCTGCAGCTTCTGCTGTTGCTGCTGCTGGTGCATGTGTTGCTGCTGGTGCTGATAAGGTGATGCTGATGCTGCTATTGCTGCAGCAGCTGTTGAAGCTGCTTAGGTGCTGCTTTCTGTTGCTGTTGCTGCGGATTAGCAATTGCTGCGTCACCTGCCCCGTTCCTTCAGCTGCCGCTGCTGTTGCTGCTTATGCTGCTGCTGTTGTCCAGGCCAGCACCACAACAACCACCCGCTCCAACTTTTCCTTTGCATGCGACAAGCAGCAGCAACAGCAGCAGCAGCAGCGCCTAGCATGTTCGATTGCAGAGGAAGTGCAGCGGCTATTTTCTGCCCAGCTTCAGGCGGCAGTGCGAGACGCATGCGAAACAGCAAAACTAGCAGCGGTGAGAGCAACATCACTCATGGAGTGCTCCTGCTGCTACTCTTGTTGCTGCTGCTCTTGCTCTTGCTGCTCCATTGTTTAGACCTACGGTGATACTACAATTGGATATTCGTGTATTTCTGCAAGTCCTGCCGCTGCTGCTGCTAATTTTTCACTCTTGATTCATGTTTCCTCTTATTCTTTCGGTGTGCTTTATGCTGCTGCTTCGTGCAGATGCCGGCTGGCCAAGAGAGTTCATCTCTTGCTGCAAAAGCGGTGCAGCAGCAGCAAGACATGCTGCAGCAGATGCAGCAGCTACAGTATCAGATGTCTAGGGAGCTGGATGAGCACCTGAAGCACCAGTTGAAGTCTATAAGCAAGGTGTTTGAGGAGCAGCAACGGCAGCTCCAGCAACATGTGCAGCAGCAGCTGCAGCAGCAGATGCTGCACCACCAACAACAAATGCAGCAACTTCATCACCAGATGCAGCAACAGCACCAGATGCAGCAGCAAACTGTGCGATTGCTGCAGCTGCTGCAGCAGCAGCAACAACAACAGCGGTCATCCCCTACAGAGGAGCATGTGGGCGGGAAGATGCTTGAGGCTTTTGAGAAAATATTGAAGAGCCAAGAGGGAGTCATGCTCAAGGTAGAGGTTATTTTCGATTTTATGCAATATTTTTGTCTTTTTTGTCATTATACTTTTTCTTTTTCGTACACAACATCTCTTAACTTGCATAATGCACCCTTTTGCAAGTCATTCAAGAACACCTGCTTCTGGGGTTTACTGCTTAGGGTTTACATCCCAAAATTATGGTTTAGAATACAGGGTTTAGGGTTTGAGGTGTCTGGGGTTTACTGCTTAGGGTTTGCGTCCCAAAATTATGGTTCACAATACAGGGTTTAGGGTTTGAGGTGTCTGTTCAGAGTCTGGACTCCGCCGAAAAGTCCATTGGGCGGCTGCGGCTGCAGCTTCGCGACATGCAAGAGGACATGAAGCAAAGCAGAGCAGTGCAGCAACAGCAGCAGCAGCAACAGCAGCAGCAGCAACAGCAGCAACAGCAACAGCAGCAGTTTCTGTTGTCCCTGCAGCAGCAGCAGCAACAGCAACAGCAGCAGCAGCAGCAACAGCAGCAGCTGCTTCTGCAGCAGCAGCAGCAATTGCTGTCTCAACTAGGCTCCGTATCCAATCAAATTTCTAGCATTTCCTCCTCAGGCCCAAGCTCGTTGCGCCCGATTGAAAAGGCAGGAGCAGCAGTCGCCACCGCCGATGGGGGCGTATCTGGGCCACCTGCCGCTGCTGCTGTTGCTGCAGCAGCTGCAGCAGCTGCAGCAGCAGAGCGCGAGACCTCAGCTCAGTTCGCAGCGAGACTGAAATTAGCAATAAGGGAGGACAGAATAGATGAGGCTTTCGGCCTGGCCATTTCTGCGGATTTGGAAAAAGACACGCAGGGCTTTTGGCTCAACTTTATTTGCAAAGATTTAAACCCTGACGATCTGTTTGAAGCTGAGCCTCCACCACTAGGGCAGGCGGCACTTCTGGGTATCGGGAAAGGTAGGGATTCTTTTGCTGCTGCTGCTGCTGCTGCTGCCCGTGTATAGTGTGGTGCTGCCACAGTGGTGCATCTGCCGAGGTCACCAGTGCAGCGGATGGTTTCGGTGCTACTTTCGCCGTTGCTGCTGCTGATCGCTGCAGTGTCTTGTTTGCTGCTTCCACTCGTGTGTGTGTCTATCCTTTTAATATGTGTACTTTCGTGTTTCCAAGTCTGTATACTTGTATGCAGATGGGTTTGTCTGACACTTCTGCATGCACAAGCTTGGCTGCGTTTGCGGATTTGTTTATTACTATGAGTAGCAATGTTGTCACTACAACGCTGCTTAGTTGTCGTTTCCTCCTTACTCTCTCTTCTCTGTAGCTGGTGTGCTAAGTGGAGCTCATGGGTCTTTTCTTTTTGTATTTCTTTCAGTTTTGTCGGATTGTTTGGCTCAAGAAGTGGGGACGAAACAGTTGAGTGAATTGCAGCAAAGGGCTCAGTGGCTGACTGTCGCCTTCACTCAGCTGGACGCTCCATCTAAGCACATTTCAGAAGAGGACTTTCTCGAGGTAAGCAGCTTTTTTTCTAGTATTTGTTTGTACTTTTAATGTCTTTCTTTACACTTGTATTCTATTTTCGTGGGGTTTTACTACCACATTTTTGTGTTTCTGTGCCCACCCATGCAGTTGTCTCAAGCAGTGCCAGCCCAGACTCCATGCGACATCAAATAGCCATTAGCTGCGCCATTTCAAACCTAACTTACTCTTTACAACTAGACACTTTGTCGCCTTGAGGCGTACATACAGTTGAGCTATTGTGCAAGTTCTGAATCCACTCACCCACCTGCTCAGCATGTTTCGATCACCGGGATTCTGGAACGATTAGCTGAGAGTCCACTTTTGTTTATTTTGTATTTATGTCCGCTTCAGCTGCTGCACGAATATAAATCTCACTTAAGAAATGCCCTAGCGGCCGTCCGCCTGCGGTTCAAGGGGGAAGCAGAAGTGCTGCAGGAAAGAATCAACATGTGTTTGAAGCAGCTGAAGAGGTGAGGCAAATGGGCCACTTGTGTAGCTAGATTAGGCGAAGTATATTTCTGGAAAGAATATGTAGGGTTAGGCCTAAATATACGCACAGCAAAGAGGCGAATAGCCTGCGCAAAGTGCAGCAACATACAACAGTAAATACCAAAGTGTACAAGCACATAGCGAGCGTACTACTCAGGCGGGATACTTAACGCGTTAGCTAAGGAATATAATATTATTTATATATTATTCCGAGTATCCATCGTTTACAGTTAAGACTGACTACTTGGGTATCTAATCCCCGGAGTTTGCCGATACTTTATTTACTTAAGTGTCTATATTCATTTTTAAGTAAAAGAAGTTTACTTACTTATACATAATCTTTTATTTGAAAAATAACAACTTAATCCGAATAACAGCGTGAAGCCCGACCAAAATAGTGCTCGTACGACTCACGATAAATTGACTCTAGTTGTGTTCACATTATTTTGCTTCCCTTGCGTCTTTCCAACTAGCCTTTGTGTAGATGATCCTGTTCCCAGCCAGAATGCTAAACAGTTACGCGTCCGCGTATTCGTCTTCTTGTCATATTTTTTGTTTAATTCGTTTTATTTTTTAACTTAGTTATTGTCTTTTTTTTTCATTCAGGCTCACACGCTCCATGCAGCTCTCCATTTCCCCTGAGAGGAGTTGAGTCAAGTTACAGCAAAGGCGATTTTTGTTCCTATTCGTATCTTTTAACTTTTTGTTTCATTTGTGTTTCTTTCGCTGCTTACTGTCTTTGGTTTCGTTTCGTTTCTTCCTGTCTTCCTTGGCCGTACTCTTCTTTATATCTTGGGTCCTTGTAAAATGTGCTGCCTGATGGCTGCGTCCAGCATTAACTGGAACTTTCTTTTTCTTCTTTTTCCGTTTTCTTCGCGTTTTAGTCTTTAGACTTTTTATTTAGATTTCATTACCGCAGCCACTGTCGGGCTCTGCCTCTTCACTCCTTTTTGCGTCTCTGTCAATCTCCGGTTGTTGTCTTTGCTGCTGCGTCCTTTCACTTCTGATTCTGCTGCCATTTTCTTTTTCTGCCTTTGCATCTTCTGACTCGTTTCTTACGAAGGCGAAAAACCTTAAACCCTCGTTTTTTAGGGAGCGGCAGTGCGGGCCACCGCAGCCAAGTGTTTAGGTGGTTTCGACAAACACCAGATCGTGGGCCCTAAACCCTCAGCATTTCGTCTTCAAGACACGGCAGTTGCTATACACCAATTAGCCTAACGCAGCAGTGTGGGCGCGCCGTATATCTTGCATTCATTTGCGTCCGCAACTTACGTCACATATAAAGTAGTTCCTTCGTTTTATTTCATTTATTCATGAAGTTCGCTAATAAACATGTTTTATTTTTTACTTTATTATTGCTTTTCAAATGTCGAATTTTTTCTTTCCTCATCAGATATAGTCTGTCTCGCGCATACCTTCATGAGACGGCTCTCAGAGGCAGCGCGCAGCTCTTCGGTCCTCGTGTTGGGACTTAGTGCAAGCAATTTTTTGCAGATTTGTTTACGCCGATTTTCATGTTTATTAGTGCAATTCAAAACAGAACAAATGATGCCTAAACGGGGCTGGGACTGAAGTTTTGCACTTGGTGCACACGGCGAGTTTCTGTGTGGGCCGTCGGGAGCCAATCGCAGGGTAGATTTAGGCCGGCTTAATAGGGAAGAACATCAATTAGAGATGAATAATATGGAATAATTGTGAGAGGTTGGGGAAAAATGCATGGGAGTGAAAGCTCGTATGCGTATTCGTGCCCGATTGGTTGTAAACACTAGTAAACACGGGGGATGCCGTGAAAACGGAGAAGCTTTCGCGGTAAACTGCGCAAACAGTATAGTTTCGAACAAATTGCACATGTTGAAAGTGAAATATTTGAAGCAGTTTCACCATTATGGCTCAGCTTGCAGGTCAGCTACCGGCGAGGCGCGCTCCAGGCGACAGGGAGGCCGGTGGTAGTGGGACAACCGCTAGAATTCTTTCTGTCTGCTCCCTTTGAGAAAAATAAGTTAAGCTCCCATGTTTAATTAAAGAGAAAGAAAGAAGCATTTGCAAATTAATCGCGCAAAAGGTCCCGGGCTTCGGGTTGTTTGACCTTCGGGCAGCGGCGTCGGCTGCAGGGCTGCTGACCGGTCAGCGCAGTGACTAGCTGAGGCTTCAGCCCGGCTCGTTGCGTCTGTTGTTCGAACATTGCAAGAACACATTGCTGAAAAACCCTTTTCTTTAAAATTACTGAAATAGCCAGGATCACGTCTCTGTTTCCCGTTTCAAATACAACAGCAGAGGCTGGCGCGGTGGCAGGTCTGTGTTCGCGCCGCAGCCGTCCGACTGAGACCGCTGGAAGTCGATCATTGGAATTCTCCAGTTCTTTGGCAAGCCTGCAATAAAGTGCCACATTTTGAAGTGTATTTTTGAGCGAGGGTTTGTTTTTGAACATAAACACCTGCCACGATGGCTGCTCCTGCTCTGCGTTTCGCAAGCTGCCGGGTCCGCCCGGTGGCCTTGGCCGCGGCGATATTGGTGGGTTTGCTGGAAATCCCGGCTTCTTTGGCCCAGCTTCGTTTTGCAGCTTTGGGAAATTACGGTTTTGACATTTCGGGGCAAAAAGAAGTGGCGGAAACCCTGAAGAAAACTGCAGCCGAGGAGCGCATCAGCTTCCTGGTTAGCCCGGGCAGCAACTTTCCCAACGGCGTTTCGGGTGCGAACGACACGAAGTGGGACGAAATGTTTGAAGACGTTTATTCCGATGAAAAAGGCTCACTTCGAATGCCCTTTTTGACTGTTCTTGGCGCTGAAGACTGGTCTGGCAACTACACTGCAATGCGCGAGAGAACAGATCTGGTGTACGGCGATGGCTCTTCTGAAGAAGCTGTTTCGAATTCGCCCAAGTGGACTTTGCCCAACTGGTGGTACCACTACGCAGTTCACTTCACAGCTTCTACAGGTTGGTTTAATATACCTAAGCCTTCTCAGTTTCCCTTCATTTCAACTTGCAACTCTGCTGCTGCAGCTGCTGCAGCTGCTGCAGCTGCTGCAAGACGTGTGTCGCTGCAGCAGCACCCCCGCCGCCGCTGCTGTTGCAGTCCGCCTTGCGTTCGTCGCCGCCCTTCACTGCCGCAGCGGGCAGTCCGCCGCGGGCGTGGCGCCTGGGCTGCTGCTGCTGCTGCTGCAGGCCGTTTGCTGCTGCTGCTGCTGCTGCTGCGCAGGGAGCGCGTTTCTGAGCTCGGGACACAAGGACATGAGCGTGGGGCTGGTGTTCGTGGACACCTGGGTGTTGTCCTCCGCCTTTCCCTTCGGAAGCGTCACCGAAAAGGCCTGGAAAGACCTCGAAAGGACTTTGCAAATTGCCCCCAAAGTCTTCGACTTTATTCTCCTCGTGGCCAACAGGCCCCTCTACAGCAGCGGCAGCTCTAAGGGCGACTCTGCGCTGCAGTATTACCTTCAGCCGCTGCTGCAGAAGGCCCAGGTCGACGCCTACATCTCCGGTTACGACCGCGACATGGAACTCATCCAGGTCACTTGCACTGCTGCTGCTGCTGCTGCTGCTGCACTGCTTTTGCTGCTGCTGCTGCACGTGTTTTGAGCTGCTGCTGCACGTGTTTGGACCTGGGGCTGCACTTGTTTTGCAGTGTCGCTGCACTTGTTTTGACCTGCTGCTCCACTTGTTTTGACCTGCTGCTGCATTTGCTTTGACCTGCTGCTGCACTAGTTTTGCAGTGCTGCTGCACTAGTTTTGCAGTGCTGCTGCATTTATTTTCTCATGCTGCTGCATTTATTTTGTGTTGCTGCTGCATTTATTTTGTGTTGCTGCTGCATTCATTTCGTGTTGCTGTTGCATTTATTTTGTGTTGCTGCTGCATTGCTTCTGTGTTGCTGCTACGTTGCTGCTGCATGCAAACAGTGGGATTGGAGGCATGGAGTGTGCACGTCTGTTTGCTCCTTCTTTTGCGTCGCTTCCTTAAATGTGTTATGTGCAACTTGTGAAGTTTCAGTGCTGCATTTTGGCAAATTAAATTTAATAATTAAAATAATTTTATTTTTATTTTTATTTTTATTCTCAGGACGAAGATATCTCCTACATCAACTGCGGGACCGGATCTGTTTCCGGCTCCTCCGCGCTGGTCACCGCCTCGGGTTCGAAGTTTTTCAGCGGAGAAAAAGGCTTTTGTTTGTTTGAACTGACTGCTGACGGGCTCATTACGAAGTTTATAAATGGAACTAATGGAGAAGTTATGTTTGAACACAAACAGCCGCTGAAGAGTCGGCCGGAGCGCTCCACCGTAAGTCGAAGCTGAGGTGTACGTACACCCCGGAGTGGGCGCGCAACATGCGGCGCAGCAGGCACTGTTTCGTGCAGTAAAGTTGGAGCACTTTGATTGTTTTGCGGCTTTTTCCTTCAGATTGACCAGTTCAACTACCTCAGCGAGATGCCGGAAGTGGTTTACTACCCAGTTCCCGAAATGGGGAAGCTGCCCGGCAAGGACGTGTTCGTGCGGGTGGTCGGGACCATTGGTCTTTGCATTTTGACTTTCTTGGCGAGCTTGAGCCTCGCAAGTGGCATTTCGCGGGCCATGAAGTGAAGAAGAACTTGGGAATTGCTTTAGTGCTTTAGAGCCGTCTCCGCGCAGCCAGTGCTGGTGCAAGTTTGCGTTAAGTCCGACGCAAACCGAAAAAACGAAGATGCAGAAGGCCAGTACTTTCTGTCCAGCACAGTTTCCGGGTGTACGTACACCCTGCGGCGTGCACCCGCACTGCCCCGCGGCCCGGCTGTTCGTGAAAACTGTCACTTCTTTCTTTGCGACCTTTTAACTTCTGGCAGCATGCATGCATGCAAAGCCGAAGGAGCCTCTTCTACTTCAGCAGCAGCGGCAGCAGCGGCAGCAGCACGCACAAAACTCTGCAGCTCTAAGTGGAGCCTCGCCGCCAAAGCGAATTGCTACGAAAGGCATTTAAAATGTATTTAAATACATTTGAGTTACAGTGCAGCGAATGTCTACAGACTTCACCAGCGACCTGTCCGTACACCCCGCCGGGCCAGCTGTCTATACACCCTAGCCCCTAGCCTACTCTGTCTCGAGTAAATCTTTTCTAGAAAGTGGCACTTGAGCCCGCATGCAAATTTGAGGGCATTTTTGTTGAGTGGAGTCACAGAAGTCACACTGTGTACGGCGAAGTGGCCTTCAGAACAAGTTGAGAAGAGTTGCTGCTGCTGCTGCAGCAGCAGCAGCAGCTTCCCGATGCAGTTCGTGTGCCGTGAAGAAGAAAACTCCCACTTAGAAATTGCTGGCGCTGAGACCTCAGGCTCTGGCTGTGCACGCGCGGTGGTGTGGAGGTGAAAGAAATAAATGATTTCGCACAAATAAATAGACACATATATACATGTACACATATGCATGCACACAGGTGTATGTACACTGCGACGCACACGAGGTGTGCAGACGTGCATGCATAGCACCTGCGGTGTATGTACGGTCCGCGCCCATATCACATAAGTTGTTCCTTTCATTACACATAAGTTTACTGAGCTGGTGCCCCAATTAAAAACAAAGAAAAGAGAGACAGAGACAGAGAGACAGACACAGCCTTTGTCTTTGTCCTTGAGTTGCAACTATATTATATTGATTTGCAAGTACTTTCCCTTCCGCTACTCATATTGAATTAACTGCTTAAACAGAAACAAAAAAGACAAAACAGGGACTCAAATTATGTCTAGCCACTCTCATCACTTTCTGCCTATCTTTTTCTCGATCCAACCCCAAACATATCCGTTTCTCAGCGGCAGCCCACGATCCTGCAAACGCTGTTGCTGCTGCTGCAGCTGCTGCAGCTGCTGCTGCAGCTGCTGCTGCTTCAGGAGCACATCTTGGCTCTTTCTAAAAGGCTTTTCGGCAGCTGCAGCTCCGGGTGGAATCTTTGCATTTCCCTCAAGAACCCCAAGCTACAAAACAGACAAAAAGGAAACAATTAGAAATTAAGAAAAGAAATAAAAATAAATCAAACTTGAAACAAAAAGAAAGAAAGCTGCAGCAACTTCATAAAGGAAATGCAAAATCTGAAATGACCTGGCACTCGGTCCGAAACACTGAATTCAAAAACATGAAAACAATAAAATGGAAAACAATAAAATAGAATTGAAGTTTAAATTAATTTAATTTATTTTAATTTGCAAATTCAAAAATTCAAAAACGCACCGCAGCTGCGGCTCGTCCATATTTGCCCAGTCGTTGAACGGCAGCCGCACTTTCTCGGTGGCCGTGACCTGCGGAAAGTTGAAATAAAAAAGAAAACAAAAAGAAATTTAAATTAAAATAACTAATTTTAAGTCAATTATTTCAATTTAAGTCTCCTTTTTGATTTTATCTCGACATAAATGGCATTTGACATGAAGAAAGCACACAAGTTGTCGATTTGGAGACAAAGAAACAAACGAAATGAGGCTTTTCAAAAACAAGAAATGAAGAAAGCGGCATGAAAAAGCGTTTAATGAAACAAATAAAGGCAACAGAAAATGAACAAATATAAACAACAACACAATCAAACAATACAACTTAATAGAGAAACAAAAACGAGGCAATTTCTGGCTGCCTCACCAAACACAGAAACAAAAAATGAAGAAATAGATGAAAAAAATAAACAAAAAACTGAACAAATAAATGAAGGAATAAGCAAAAATCTAAACAAATAAATAACCAACAAAAAATTAAACAAATAAATGAAATAATAAAAGGAAAACTAAACAAATGAATGAAATAACAAGCAAAAATCCAAACAAACAAATGAAATAATAAAAGGAAAACTAAAATAAAACAGTAAACAAAGACACAAACAAACAAACGAAATAGTAAACAAAAACTAAAAAACAAAAGAATAAAAAAGCAAATAAATGAAATAAAACAAAAACAAATAAAAGAATAAAAAATAAAAGCAAATAAATGAAATAATAAACAGAAAATAAATAAAAGAATAAAAAATAAAAACTCACCTCTATACTTGGGTTTCGGACTCCCTTAAAGAAAGGATGGGCAAGACATTCATCTACAGAAATTCGCCTTTTGGGGTTGAAGACCAGCATGCGTTTCAGGAGGTTCAAAGCCTCAGCTGCAAAACAATAAATAAATAAATAATAAATAAATAAATAAATAAATAAATAATAAATGATATAATGTTTTTTAATACCTTGTTTTGAATTGGAACGAAGTGCACAAATTGAAATTCTGCTCGGTGCAGCGAATTGGCGGAAAAAAGAAAAACAAATAAATGTTTTAATTGCAATGAATAAAAACAAATAAATGTTTTAATTGCAATAAAAAAAAATAAATGTTTCAAGTGGAATAAACAAAAGTGAAGAAATGTCTCAAATAAAAGCAAAGAAATGTCTGAATTGGAACAAATAAAAAACGAAGAAATGTTTTAATTGGGATAAATAAAAGACGAAGAAATGTTCTAATTGGAATAAATAGAAACAAATAAATGTCTCAAGAAATAAAAACAAATAAATGTCTAAATTGGACCAAACAAAAGCAAAGAAATGCCTGAACAAACAAAAGCAAGGAAACATCCCAATTGGAGCAAACAAAAGCAAAGAAATGCCTAAATTGACAAAACAAAAGCAAAAAAACATCTCAATTGGAGCAAATAAAAGCAAAGAAACATCTAAATGGACCAAACAAAAGCAAAAAACATCTCAGCACCAAACAAAAGCAAAGAAACACCTCAAATGGAGCAAACAAAAGCAAAAAGCACCTCAAATGGAGCAAAAAAAAGCAAAAAGCATCTAAATGGACCAAACGAAAGCGAAACTGACGGGAAGAGGCGGAGAAGCGCTGGGCCAAGTCGTGGGCCTTCTTGGGCGGGAAAGTGCGGATGTACTGTTTGGCCTCGTTGGACTCCAGCGCGTTTATTTCTTCTTCCGTCGGAGTCCCCAAGACGTTGAAGATCACGTTCAGCTGGTCCTTGTTGCCCCGCGTCTGCAGCCTGCACAAACGCACTTCGCCGCCAAGGGAATCCCGTTTCGAACGGGAACCGCATTGCTGCTGCTGCTGCAGCTGCTGCTGCTGCTGCAGCAGACGTCTACTGGGAACCACGGCAAGACGGAGGCTTGCCGCTGCTGCAGCGGCCGAGCAAGCAGCAGACCTGCGTGCTTTGCTGCTGCAGCAGCGGCGAAGCAAGCAGCAGACCTGCGTGCTTTGCTGCTGCTGCAGCACTGGCGAAGCAAGCAGCAGAGCTGCGTGCTTTGCAGCAGCAGCAGCAAGGCAAGCAGCAAAGAGGAGGGAAGGCGCTGCAGCAGAGCCAGGAAGCTGGAAAAGCTGGAGTTGCAATAATTGAATTAATGGAGTTCAAAGACAAGAAGTGCAAGTGCTCGCCTCGAGTCATCTCCGTTCTTCTGATCCGGAGAAAGCGGAAAGCAAGAAGAGCCAGGAAACAAGGGGCCCCTGTCGCAGTGGGACTCCACGTTTTCTTCCTGCAAACAAATCGGAATTCAACTTCACCAAATGCGGCACACCAACCGACGGACCCGCAAACGCCGCCGCTCCCGAAGCAGCAGCAGCAGCAGCAGCAGCAGCAGAGGCAGCAGCAGCAGAACGGGGGTGGATCGAAGGCACAAATGAATGTTTGAAAATACAAATTGATGTTGAATAATCAACTTCGAATTATAGATGCACAAAAGCCGCAGAAGTGAAAACAAAAAGGATGAAATGAAGCTTTCGCCTCCTGTTTCTACAGCTGAGTATCCCTTTGCATTAGTATTTATTTCATCTCATTTTTTGCTTTTTATTTACTTATTTTTCAATTTCTTTTCGTCTTTTCTTCATCAGCAAAGGAACTTCAACTCTGCGCACTGCGAAAGCATTTGCCACTTGTTAATCTTTGAATTAAATAAACTTTTATATGAACTTTTAAATAAACATTTGGATAAACTTTCAAACAGACTTTCAAATAAACTTTCAAATTGATTTTTGAAAAGACTTTCAAATAAAGTTTCAAAAGGACTTTAAAAAACACCTAAACGAACTTGAATTAAACAAACTTGTGAATAAACTTTGAAACAAACTTTGAAATAAACTTTGAAATAATGATTTGAATGCAAAGAAGTGCAAACAACTCACAATCATTGACAACAGCTCCGAGAAAATGCAGCCAATGGACCAGACGTCGATTGCCTCTGTGTAGTTCTCGGCCAACAGAATCAACTCCGGAGCCCTATACCACCTGCAGCAAAAACAAATAATATAAATAATAAAATAATAAAATAAACTATTATTATTACGTTATTATTGCTATTATTATTAAACTCGAATCCAAACAAGGGCAGCAACACGGGAATTGCTGCAGCAAGCAGCAGCAGAACAAGCAGCAGACACAAACAACCGCAGAACCCAAGCACGCATAATACTGCAGGCTTCTGCTGCTGCTGCTGCTGCTGCTGCTGCTGCTGCTGTTGCTGCTGCTGTTGTTGCTGCTGCTGCTGCTGCTTTTGCTTACCTGGTGACGACGTGGCCGGTGAGCTGGCGCTTGAGGTTTTTGGTGTGCGTGACGTTCACAATGTCATCGTCTTGCTGCGCTACAGGGCAGTGGCTGTTTTGGCCTTCTGGGAAATCCATTGTCCGCGCCAAGCCGAAGTCGCAGACCTTCACGCTGCAGTCCTGGTTCACCAAGCAGTTCGCAGGCTTCTGCAGCAGCAGCAGCAGCGCAAGCAGCAGCAGCAGCGGGGGGAAGAGTCCACGGATGCGGAGGGAGTGGCGCGCACGATCAGCTGGAGCAAACGCAGTCCGCAGCCGCAGCAGCAGCTGCTGCTGCAGCAGGGCTGCAGCAGGAGCTGGGGCTGCTGAAACCCCATTTAAAAGCGATTTAACCTGAATTTCTTTTTCGGTCTTTTATTTCTCACGAGATCGCGGTGCAAGATTCCAGCGGAGTGTACGTATTTAACGCCAACGAGCAAGTTGTACAAAAGGGTTTTGATGTGCAGCTCCGTCAGATACACCGGCGCCCGAAACAGTTTCTTGAAATCTGAGTCTGCGATCTCTAGCACGACATACATTTCCTAAAAGAAAAACAAAACAAAAAGCAATTTCAAAAAAAATAAAACTCGCCAATCCAAATTTCGTTTCATTCCCCGAAGCTCCGCTGACTGCAGCGCGCTCCCCCCGGGCAGGGAGGAAACTGGTGGGAAAGCGCCGGTAATTTCCTTTTTTAATTTAAAATTGTGAAAATAAATGAATTTAAAAACGAAAATAAACACAATTTCGCAGTGGAAAGCGGCGGAAAGCAGCGGATCGCGCTGCGCGTGCGCCTGCGCACATCAAACTTTTCAAGATCGCTGGGCACGAGGATGTCGAGGATCTTCACGATGTGGTCGTGGTTGAGTCGATTTAAAATGGCAATCTCCCTCAAAATCCTTTTGCAGTCAATTAAATCTTCGAAGACTCGGTGGATCTTCTTGATCGCGACAATCCGCTGCTCCTGGTTGTCGTACACCTCGCACACGTGGCCTGGCGGCAGCAGCAGCAGCAGCAGCAGCAGCAGACGAAATTCGCTGTTTCAGTGCAGCGCGTGCGGCGCTAGGAGCTGCGTGTGGGGCCTCGAAGGAAGGCAGACACGAGGCAGCAGCGCGCGGGCTGGGGTGTCTGTACACCTGAAGCGCGCAGCAGCAGCAGGCGTACCGTAAGAACCAGTGCCAATTAAATGATGGACTTCGTAGCGCTCTGGAAGCTGCCAGTCAGCCAAGGGGTGGGGCATGCGGGTTGGTTTGACTGCGTGCTGCTGGTTTTTGCGCTGGTGGTCTTGTTCGGGGTGTCTGTGTTGGTGCTGCTGCTGCTGCTGCTGCTGCTGCTGCACGCAGCGCTGCGGCTGCTGGACGGAGCTGCAGGAGGCGGCGTTGGCAGCAGCTTGGGGCTGCTTGGCTGTTGCGGAGTTTGGGGCGCCGGCGTGGCACTGCTGCTGGTAGTAGACGTGCTGGGGGTGGGGCTCGTAGCGCTGCTGCTGCTGCTGCTGCTGCTGCGGGTGGGGGTAGCGGGCGTACTGGTGCTGCTGCTGCTGCAGCTTCTGGTAAGGCGGGTGCGGCGCACACTGCACGTAGCCCTGCTCCAGCGCAGCAGCAGGGGCCGCGCTGACGGCGCCCTGGGACTTTTGGAAGCTCATTACAAAAAACTGGAAAAGAGAAAAGCTGCAGAAGTGAAGAGCTGCTGCAGTCACAGCAGCAGCATGGCCGCGGGCGCTCGCGCGAGATCGGCTACGGCGGGGAGCAGCGCGGGGAAAGCAGCAGGGGGTTCATGGAAAGCTGGTGGAAAGTGGAGGAAAAAGACGAAATAAACCACCAAAGTGGACAGAAAAGGACTATACTAACCTCAAACCCGATTTAAAACCCAAAGTTCCCCTCAGATCGCTCCAAACTTCCAGCTTTCTTCGAGTTTGTGTCAGTGCGGCGCCGGACCGGTCCACTTGAACACGGCCTTGAGGTGTACGTACACCTGCCAGCCGCCTATCTCCCGCCACGCCCACGCGATGCCCGCCAAAAACACTTTTCCGCCGGCTCTTTTGCCCCCTCCAAAGGCCCAAGTTCAATATTTTTGCAAAACTTTCTTCAATTTCTCGCCAAGTCCCCGGTTTCTTTAGCAGTTCGCCTCGCGGCAGCGCCGCCGCCGCTGCGCCGACAGCCCAGGCACCAGCCGCGATGCCTGAGCGATAGTGACGGGCCAGCACATGCGCCTATAGCCCCTCAAAATGCAAAATTAGACTTTTAAAAACAAACGAATTGCTTTATTTGTTTTACTTCAAGACATTTCCGGAGAAACGGCAGCGCCAGATGTGGCTGGGATGCGAAGCCGCCTGTTCCCATGGGGGGCTGCGGACTCGCCGCTGCTGTCCGGGCTCGCCGCTGCAAACTCCCCTTTTTCAGCTTTTGCTGCTGCAGCAAGCAGCAGCAAGCAGCAGCAAACTCTCCACGCCCCCCCAAAAGCCAACACTGCCCAGACCAGCAGCAGCCTGCAGTGCTAGGCGGTGCACCCTCGCCCTGCTGCGCCCTTTCCGCAGCCCAGAAGCAAACACGAACTCTTCGCCAGCTTCCTCTCCAGCTTTTTTTTCAGATAAATGCATTTGAAGACAACTCTGCAAAGTCCTCAGCCCCAGACCCCCCGCCTCGACGCAGTGTATGTACACCGGGGGACTTGGGGGGGTTGCGCACGGGGGGGCCTCCCTAGGCCCCAAGCCCTTCCCGCTGGATCTACACTCCACACTCTCGAATTCCTTTTTTAACTCCATTTATTTGTTTTATTTTAATTCTTCTTCTCTTTTCCCTTTCTTCTGCGCCTCTTCGCCCCGTTCCCCGCCCCGCGGGGCTGCAGCAAACCCCAGGTGTACATACACCGCAGCCCTTGCGCCCCTCTCTTCCCCCCACAACCCCACGCGCTGCTGCTGCAGCACTTGCGCAATTCAAGCAGCAAAACATGCAGCAGCAGCAAGCATTGGGGGGCCCCCCCCCCCGCTCTCAACACAGTGTCTGGGGGGCCCCCGGGGCCCTTCTAGACAGCAAAAGTTAGCCTATTAGTTCATTTAAACCCACGAAAAGAACGTTTTAGATCTATGAGGGCCCCTGGGGGGCCCCAATGGCCCAGGGGGCCCCACAACAGCTCCAAAGGCCATAAAATTTTCCACAAGTCCATTTGCCCCAAATGGCCATTTAGTAGTTAAGGCCTCCCCCAGCGCCTCCCAGCTCTACTAGGGCTCCGGGCCGCCTTTCCTGCTGCTGCTGCTGCTGCTTCTGCTGCTGTTGCTTAGTACCTTGCTGTGGGCCGCTGCATCGTGTAGCCCCCAACGGGGAGGCTCGGGGGGCCCCCGTACCCTCTTTGGTGGCCCTGGGGGGCCCCCAGAGTTCTGCATTTGCTGCCACTTCTGCTGTTGGGGGCCCCTGGGGAGCCCCTGCAGCAGTACGAGGCTTTTCTTTTACTCTAAAGGGCCCCCCAGGGGCCCCTTGCACGCAGGGGCCCCCGCTTTTGCTGCAAGGGGGCCCCCTGAGGCTAATAGCTGCAGCTTTTGCTGCCAAGGGGGGCCCCCAGTTGCCACTTCTGCTGCTTAAAGATCCCCTAGGGAGCAGCAGCGATTTGCTGCAGTTTAGAAAAATCTTGGGCATTAAAAGCTGCCACTTTTGCTGCTCCAGAATCTTAACAGTTTGTTGCAAAGCCACTCAGGCTGCGCTGATGCTGCGGCCTTCGCAGCCGCTGCAGGAGCTGCAGCAGCGGCACAACTGCTGCTGCTGCTGCTGCTGCTGCACACCAGCGGGCCCTGGGCCTAGCTAGAGTGAAGGCTCGCCCCAAAAGGATGCTGCTAAAACCCCTCCTGCTGATACCTGCTAACACTAATTCAAAGAGCCAAATTTCACAGAGACCCTGGGGCTTTCTTTTAATGAATGCATGCATGCACGCATGCATGCACGCATGCATGCATGCAGTGTTGGACCCTCTTCATCAAATTAGATTTCAATTAAAAAGCTTGCCTGGGGATTTCCACTTCCTCTTTAGACACTAATGCATGCACAGCAGCAAATGCCTCTTCAGGGGCATTTGCTGCTGTGCATGCATTAGTGTCCATATGCGTAGCTGCAGCAAAAGCTGCTGGGGCCCCTTGGGGCCCAGCAGCCCTTTGGGGGCCCCCTGGGGCCCCTTAGGATCCCCGGGGGCCCCTTGGGGCCCTTTAGGGGCCCCCTACGCCGCTTAAAGCCTTAGGGGGCCCCAAAGGACCCATTGGAGGCCCCCTTGACCTTCCTGGGGCTCCCTTGGCCCCCCAGGGATTTTTGAGACCCCCACGGGGCCCCCGGGGGGCCCCCTTGGGCCCCCAAGGGGCCAAAAAATCCTTTATTTAAGCACTCTGCGTCCTTTCTGTAAGTGTTCAAAAGTCCTGGAGCTCAGCACCGATAAAAGTCCCCTGGGAAATTATATTTTGGAGATACGAAAGAAATGAATGAAAGTTTAAGGACAAGTAAATGAGTCAATTGGTGAAACTAAGGCAGAGACAGTAGTGCGGAAACAAACAAAGAACATGCAACTCAGGAACTTGAAAAAAAAAAAGAATAAATGAAGAGAACAAACCCCAGGAGCCTCTGGACGTACACCCCGTCGTCGGGTGTACGTACACAGGCTCCTGGGCCACAACGAAAAGCAGTTTGAAGAGAGTTTGTATTTATTTCGTCAAAAATTTGAAAAGTTTTAACTTTTTGTCTATTGTTTATTTTTTTTTCTAAGATTTGAAAGCCTTCAGCTGTACGCCCGTGCACTTGTGTGAAGACGCGCTGCTGCGTTTTTCGCGTTTAGTTTGCCATGAGTTATTTTTGTCACTTATTTCGCAAAAATGAAAAAAAAATTGTTCTGCTTGCTAAAAAGGGGAAAATGAAACAAAGAAAGGCTTTTTCTGTTCTGGCAAAGTACAGCTGGAATGCTCGCCACGTGTGTTGTGTTGCTCGGGCTGATTCAGGTGTACGTACACCTGAACTAAATCCAAGAAAAGTTGAAAATGCAACTTCAACTTCTATTTCTGCACTTTTGTTTTATTTATTTTGCAAGAAGAAAGCCAGATGCAGCCCCCCAAGATCCTCCCCACGGGCACTGGAGTTGCAGACTTGCTTTTATTTCAACTGCATGCATGAAATAAATGAATTAAATACAACAAATTGAATAAATTAAATAAATAATATAAATATCTTCGCAGATTGCACTATAGATCTGCATATTTGCTGCTCACTGTATATTTGAACTGTACATACAGCTGAGGGGACAGCGCGCACGCATGCAAAGTTCACTTCAGAACAGAATAATGATTTTAATGTCCTATTGCATGCAAAACCATGCATTCTCCCCTCCTTTTTGCATGCAAAATGCCAAACTGTCCATCAAAAGTCTTTTAAAATTATAAAAGTCTTTTAAATGGACCAAAAGTCTTCAAAAATCATAAAAGTCTTTTGTGCGGAAGTTGCGCAGCGTTTTTGTGCGCAGAAGCGCCATATATGCCATATCCCTGCAAGCTATTTATATATAATATAAATATATATTATAATATATAATATATATATATATCTAAATATATATATTATCTTTTTATATATTCATAATATATATAAATACACTTATTTGTGCTTTTAGATGTAAAGATATATTGATAAAGACATAAAGACGCAGATATATGTAATATGCATGCATATAAAGATATACAGCTGTAGACATCTATGTAGTTATATACATATATTCATATATGTTAATATATATATATATATGTTTATATAAATATATATGTAAATATATATATATAAACATATATGAATATATGTATATATGTATCTATATGTTTATAAAGATATAAATAAGTATATACAGATGGAGATAAAGATAATTACAAATATATAGATATATAGATGCACAAATATATATAAACACACTGGCAAAGGAATGAAGATACAAGCAGAGACATAAATATATAATATACAAATATATAAATGTAAAATATGTATATATATATACATTATATATATATATATAATAACATATATTATATATATATATATAAAGTTTACTGATAAAGATAGAGAGAAGATAAAGAAATGGAGTGGGAGGTGCAGAAGCACAAAGACACTTGAAGAATAAAAAGAAATAAAAGCAGAGGAGTACATACACCCAACTGAAAGCAGAAATAAAACAAGAAGAAACAAAAACACAAATTTAAATTATTTTAATTTCCATTAATGCTGAAAGCCACATTCAGTGGATTTATATGTGCATAAGGCCTTCAGGCAAAACCCAGAGACACAAAAACAGCAGCGCAGCAGCAGCAGCGCCGCAGCCGCAGCGCCGCAGCCGCAGCGCCGCAGCAGCAGCAGCGCAGCAGCAACAGCAGCGAGAAGAGAAGCAGCAGCAGCCAGCAATATGAGCCCGATTGGGGGAAAGAGTGTTAATTCGCATTTTATGTTTTTGCATTTAAGGAAGTTTTATTTAAATTTAAATTCCCTTTTGAAGTGTTTTTATCTTCTTGCCGCCTGCTGCAGCAGCAGCTCGTAAGCTGCATTTATTTGCTGCATCATCTCTTGCCCGTTGAGGCACTTATTCTCTTTTGCTGCTGCCCCTGCCTCCCCTATACACGCTGGGTTTCCTTCGCTGCTGCTGCTGCTGCTGCTGCCGCTGCTGCTGCTGCTGCTGCTGCTGGTGTGGAGGGCGGCTCTGTCTGGGTGGTGCTGCTTCGCTAGCTGCCTATACCTTTGTCGGATTTCTGCTGCTGTTGCATTTTCATTGAGTCCGAAGAGCAGCAGAGCGCGCTGCCGCTCGTCAGTTTGCTGCTGCAGCAGCAAAGTGTAGTCTTCCCAGCTTTGCTGCAGCTGCTGCAGCAGCCACTGCGCCTTCTCTGTGTAGCTCTTGCCCTTTAGTGCTGCAGAGAACTGCAGCGGCAGCTGCTGCAGCTCTTGCCACGCCTGCTGCAACGCCTGCAGCGCCTCTTGCTGCTGCGGCTGCTGCAGCTGCTGCTGCAGCAGCTGCAGCACACTCTGCCGCTCCAGCTGCCCCTCCTGCTGCAGCAGCGGCACGTTCACAAACGCATGCAGCAGCAGCAGCAGCCAACTCAGCCCCAAAACAAATATAAACAATTTGCAAATCATTTTTACAAGTGCCTGAGGAAGGCGAGAAAGAAGCAGCAGCAAGGAGTTGAAGTGCCAGCAGCAGCTGCTGCGCATGCGTTCGCACAGGTGCTGCTGCTGCTGCTGCTGCTCGCGCGCGCCCAGCAGCTTTGTTGCTGCTGCGACTGCTGCTGCTGCCTCCAGACGCTTCAATAAAATCCACAAGCCAGAAGGCTTGCTGCAGCGTGCTGCTGCTGCTGCTGCTGCTGTCAACAAAGTGCCAGCAGCAAATAACTCCTCCAGCGCCTCGACCTCGACCAGCTGAGACCACGAAAACTGCTGCTGCTGCAGCAGCAGCAGCAGCACCTCTGCGGCGCGCGACCGTTGCTGCTGCAGTGGCAGCAGCAGCAACGCCTCCGCAGGAAGCACCTGCTGGAGCAGCAGCTGCAGCAAAGCGAGAGGGAACAGCAGCATGTCAGCCCATTTCCACTGCAGCCCTGCTGCCATGCCTGCTGTTGGTACCGCAGCAGCAGCAGCAGCAGCAGCAGCAGCGTTAGCAACAATTGAACACACAATAGGAATGCAGAAGGCAAAGGAGAGTCGCAAATAAACGTATGAAGGCGCAGAAATTGAGCCAAACACGCAGCGGGACTTCTTGCTGCTGCAGCTGCTGCTGCTGCTGCCGCTGCTGCTGCTGCTGCTTCTGCTGCAGTTGCACGGAGGGGAGCGGGCAAGAGGAAGCCCCATGTAGCTGCTGACGTGGAGGTTCACCAGTGCAGCAGCAAAACAGCCTCTTGCTGCTGCATGCAGCAGCAGCAGCCACCAAGGAGAGAGTGGGATGTCTGCTGCTGTTGCTGCTGCAGCAGATGCAACAGCAGGAATGTCAATGAAAAGGTGCAGCAGCAGCACGCAGCAAGCAAAAGAAATTATTCTCTTTATAACTGACCAGCTCCAAGACAAAGCAGCAGAAGAAGCAGCACCTGTTGCTGCTGCTGCGGCTGCCCAGCAGGTTTGCTGCTGCTGCCGCTGCTGCTGCTTCTTGCACCGCCTGTAGCTGCGCGCGTGCAGCAGCCGCGCAGCAGCAGCAGCATCTGCAACAGCAGCAGCAGGAGCCCCAAAAAGAGCAGCAGCAAACTGCAGGTCTCCTGCTAGTGCCACTTGTGCTGCTGCCTCTGCTTCATGAGGGACAGGCACCTCTGCTGCTGCCGCTGCTGCTGCTGCTGCTGCCCTTTCCGGCCCTGCGGCTGCAGGACGTGCAGCAGCAGCAGCAGCAACGCAGCGGCGCATAGCCGCAACAAGTTGGTGCAGCCGCTGCCTCTCTTTCTGAACTACTTTTGCTGCCTCTTGCTGCTGCTGCTGCTGCTGCGTGCGCTGCAGCAAAAGGAGCATCTTCCCCACCCACTGCTCCCGCTGCTGCTGCAGCAGCCGGGTGTACGTCCACCTCACGCCCCTTGCTGCGTCGTACAGCAGCAGCAAACCGCAGCCGCCAAGGGTGAAGAGCCGCAGCAGCTGCTGCGGCAGCAGCAGCAAACTGGCAGCAGCAGGATAACCAATTAGCCCTCCAAAGATAAACCTGAGCAGCAAATTAATTCGCAAGAACCAGCAGTGGCGGGCAGAGAAGGGGCTCCCGCTGTAGGAGCTCAGGGGGGGGAAAGAGCTACTGCTGCTGCTGCTGCTGCGTGCTGCTGCTGCTGCTGCTGTTGCTGCTGCTGCTTCTGGCTGGCTTGGGGCTTCGGCTGGGCCGCTGGAGCAGCTGCTGCTGTGCTGCATGCATTTGCTGCATTGAAAGTCAGAGCCTTCGTCATGTTTGCTGCTGCTTTTCCCATTGCTGATGCTGCTGCTGCTCTCGCTGCTGCTGCTGCTGCTGTTCTTGCTGCTGCTGCCAAAAAGACGAACCGAAGGGCGGGCAGCATGATCCGGGCCGAGGTAGCAGCAGCTGCTGCAGTAAGTGGCGCTGCAGCAGCTGCTTGTGACAGCAACTGGCTGCTGCTGCTCAGAAGCAGTGCTGCCCTTCATAGTGCCAGCGAGCTGCTGCTGCTGCTGCTGCCGCCGCCGTTGCCGCCGCTGCGGCTGTTGCTACCGCTGCCGCTGCTGCTGAGGCCGCTCAGGCCGCTGCTCTTCTTGCTGCTGCTGCTGCTGCTGCCGCTGCCTTCAAGGCTTTGCTGCTGTCTGTTTGCACACTTTGTCTTGTCTGTTTGTCTTTTTGGCTGTCTTTCAGTTTCTTCTCTGCTGGTCTCTGTTGTTGCTTCTGAAGCTTCAAGAAATGGCCAGTTTTTGGCCTTATTGCAGCTGCTGTTGCTGCTGCTGCTGCTGCCGCTGTTGCTGCCGCGCGAGCTGCCAGTGCTCTCGCCGCTGCACCCGGTGCTGCAGGTGCTGTTGCTGCTGCTGCTGCTCTTAATTTCATTTATTCTGCTGCTGCATATTTCGCAGCATTTGTTGGTCTTCGTTTTTTGGTCAAAATGAAAGAACAAAGAGGTGGGGCTGCATGCGGCTACACAAATTGGTCCTTGAAATGTCACTTGATGGCGGCCACTTCGCTCAAACTTCTCGATTTGTTCACAAATTAATAAATAAGATCTAAAATAACATCTATTTAATTATTTATAAAGGGCAAAAGAACTAATTCAACTCATGTAGACCCCCCTTCGCCGCCGCCCGCAGCAAGGCGCAGCCGATCCGTCTCAGGTGTCTGCATGAGTTCTTTTCGCCTTTTTTTGTCTTTTTGCATTCAATTTTGGGTTTTTATTAAATTAAAATAAATAAATAAATAAATAGTTGCAAATTGAATTGGTTTGCAAGTTTGAACTCCCCGGATTAGCCCCCGCCGCAGCAAGAGCTGCAGCAAGTGACCCGCCGCGTTCTGCATTTCATGTTCTGTTTTCCTCCGTAAAACTACATTTCTTGAATTTTAAATTTAAAAATAAACAAATAAATTAAAAGAAATAAACCATTAATAATAATGAAATGCTTTTTGAAACAAAGGACAGCCATTCTTGCTGAACAGCAGCTGTTCATGATCTCTCCAGGACTCCAGCTCATGCTGCTGCCTCCTTGTGCTTCTTTTCGAAGTAAAGAAACGAAAAACTTCAAAATAAGTAAATAATTGGCAGCAAAGATGAATTAAAGAAGCAGAAATGAATTTCAAGTCTTCTGGCGCTTCTTAAAAGAACAAAAATGCTCAAAATTGAACGAAATGCGAACAAAAATGAAGAAATAATTCATAAAATGAAACTTTCAACACTGTCAACTTCTGCTGCTGCCGCAGGGGGCCAGCAGCAGCAGCTGTAGCTTCCGTTCGCGCTGCTGCACAACTTGCAGCCAGGCCTTGGCTGGCTAGGGTTTAGGGTTTAGGGTTTGGGGTTTCGATACAAGCAGGAAATGCATTTGTCACGGCGAATTTGAATGCGAAATAAACCCTTAGTCCTCCCTCCCTTGTCTTGCTGCTGCACACTTGCTGCTCATGTTCAGGGCTAGGGTTTAGGGTTTAGGGTTTAGGACTTTGCGGACGGAACTGGCGGCAGCTCAAAAACTTCAGGGGGGTTGTACTCATCCCACTGCCACTTCTGAAGACAAACACAAGGACATTTCTTGTCAAATTGTTTGCTGCTACAGCAAACGATTTGCTGCTGCAGCAGCAAACGCCTTGCTGCTGCAGCAACTTGCGGAAACGAACAAAAAGGGAATTAACTTCAGGCAAAAACACATTCAGAGCAACGGAATGAATCAATTAAATGCATCGACGGATCATCTTGTTGGAAATTTAATTAATTTCAATTATTTAAATGGTTTATTTATTTATTTATTTGCGTGCTGCTGCAGCAGAGCAGCTTTTCCTGTATTACTTCTGCTGCAGTTCAAGTTCAAACGCCCACCGCAGTGCTAATTGCAAGCTTGGGAGACAACAAATGTATTTAAATGTATTTATTGATATATAATTAGATAATTGTGATTTATAAAAGACGAATTATTTCTTTTTTGACTTATTTTCTATTTTTGCATTTTCAACAACCACCTCCGTGCAAGAAAGCGGAAGCTGACTGTACACCCGAACGGCCGGGGAGCCGCAGCGCGGAAAAGAAGAACAAATGGTTCTTGAATTAATTTAATTACTTTATAATTCTAAATTGTTTTTATTTTTGCATTTAATTAATTCTTTTTTTCTTCGAATCACCTGGTGCGAGTCGCCGCTGCCGCACTCCGCCAAGCCCAGCTGCCCGTTCTTCACCGCCAGGCATTTCCCTACAGCTCTATTCCGCAGCTTTCCGTCCTCGACGTCCCACCTTGAAAACAAAAACCAAATTAAAGCAGATAAATAAAACAAATAGAACAAATACATTTACTCGAGCACTGGCAGACGAATTAGAAACGAATGGGGAAATCTGGCGAGAGAGCCGCTGAGTGCAAGTGCACCCCCAGCACAACCTCTCCTGCTGCTGCTGCTCATGCTTTTGCTGCTGTTGTTGTTGCTGTTGCTGCTGCTGTTGCTGTTGCTGTTGCTGCTGCTGTTGCTGTTGCTGTTGCTGCTGGTGTTGCTGCTGCTGCTGCTGCTGCTGTTGCTGCTGCTGCACCCGCGGGCTTGCTGCCTGCCGTTTCTCGTGTACCCGGAAGTCGGCAGGCCACAACTATTTACTCCAGAACTTGCATTCACTGTTAATAATTAATTAATTAATTAATTAATTAATTAATTAATTAATGTATTTATTTAACTCACCACATTAGATCATTCACTCTGCACCAGTCCAAGCTGCCGCTGGGCGTGAGGCAAGCCTCGTCATTGAGCACGGGCATTACATGTCCGACTTTTCTGAGAATAAAATAAATAGATGAATAAATAAATTAATTGATTAATTGATTGATTAAAAGGAGTCCATTAATTCTTGTTTCGTTTAGTGATGGATTTTCTCCCTTTTGTCTTAAAGCTTTCGCATTTGAAGTCGCTGAAGAGTTCCTTTTCGTTTGTTCGAACTTTTGGGCTTTTTGAAAAGTCCCTTTTCCCGGCAGCGCGCATGCATGCACTTGCATGCAAGCGCTTGCATGCACTGCAACTGGAAGTTGAACCAAAAAGCAAAACGAACTTGAAGTACATAAACTCCTGCAGCTGGTGGTCTTCCTGGCAGCCCCGCAGCACTGCCCGGCTGCCCGGCGAGGGCCGCCCGGTGGCTTCGAGGCAAAGCCCGGTGTCTTCGTTTTTGAGTTTCCCTGAACCCAACAAACAAGCAAAGAAGCAAAGAAGCAAAGAACTCAACTAGCGAATGAAAGCACTGATTCATTCGTGACAACTCCGCAGCAGCAGCAGCACTCGGGGCCCCCCGCATCCGCATCCGCAGCAGGAGCAGGAGCACTCGGGGCTCCCCGCAGCCGCAGCAGGAGCAGGAGCACTCGGGGCTCCCCGCAGCCGCAGCAGGAGCAGGAGCACTCGGGGCTCCCCGCAGCCGCAGCAGCAGCAGCAGCAGGAGCACTCGGGGCTCCCCGCAGCCGCAGCAGGAGCAGGAGCACTCGGGGCTCCCCGCAGCCGCAGCCGCAGCCGCAGCAGTCGGCAGCAGACCGAGGAAGGGGACGTCGGAGAGGTGGACGACGTCGGACTCGGGGAAGACGTTCTCGAGAAACCACTGGAAACTCCTGCAGCGGCTGCGGCTGCGGAACTGCAGGCGCTGCTGCAGCGAAGCAGCGCCGTAGTCCACCGCAGGCCGCCCCAGCACCCGCCACGCCAAGTCCCCAAAACGGTCCATCCACGCCAGCGTCCGCAGCTTGTTCGCCGCCAGCGCCGAAGCGGGAAACGCGTAGCCCGCGCCGCCGCGGCGGAAGACGTGGAAGACGCGGCTGCAGGCGGCGCACTCGACGCGTCCGCCGCACTGCCAGGCGCGGAAGCTCAGCTCCAGGTTTTCCGCGCCCCAGAAGCGGAAGCCTTCGTCGTAGCCGCCGACTGCGAAGAAGAAGGCTTTCGAGCTCGCGAACAGCCCGCCCGCCATTGCCGGCGACGCCTGGTAGAGCTCCAGCTCCTCCTCCTGCTGCTGCTGCTGCTGCTGCTGCTGCTGGTGGTGGGGGTGGGGGTGGGGGTGGTTGGGGGGGGCGGAGGCGGTTTGCTGCTGCTGCTGGCGGCGGCGCTGCTGGCGCTGCTGCAGCTGGTGCGGCTCGAAGGAGTGCTCCACGAGCTGCCAGAGGAAACCCAGCTGGCAGCCGATGCCGCCAGTGACGTGCTCGAAGGTCTCCGCGTCGATGCCGTCGACCTGCGGCATCACGAGGCTGCTGCTGCTGCGCTGCAGCCGCAGCAGCAGCGGCTCCAGCCACTGCCGCTGCACCTCCACGTGGCTGTCCAGCACCACGAAGTGCGCAGCAGCCGCGGCGCGGATCGCCCGCAGCCGCGCGCCCACGATGCCCTCCCGCTGCGGACTCCGCAGCAGCTGCACCTTCCGCGGCAGCAGCAGCAGGTGCTGCTGCAGCTTCCCGTTGCCCCCCAGCGCCTCAGCCGCCACGTCTGCTGCTGTGCTGCCGTCGTCCACCAGCAGCACCTCCTGCAGCAGCTGCGGCGGCGTCCTGTTCAGCACGCTGTGCACCGAACGCAGCAAAGTCGACAGAGCCTCGTTGTGAAAAACTATCAAGACAGACGCTGCTGGCAAACTTTCCAAGTCGTACTGCACTGCAGCGCATGCAGCAGCGCGGGACTCCGGCACCGGCCGGTCCAGCGGCAGGTGGTCGCTCAGCAGCAAGTTGAAGCCGCCGCCCCGCGCCAGCTCCGCCGCCATGTTCAGGTCCTGACCAGTGGTCACGCACGCACCAGCAGCAGCGGCACTGCACCAGCAGCAGCAGCAGCGGCACCGGCAGCGGCAGCGGACGCAGCAGCGGCACGCTTTCCAGTCTGCGGCTCGCAAAACTCACGGGAGGAGGGGGGGGGCCCGGAACGTAGTTCGGAGTGCCGTCGGGCTTCAGCCCGAGGGGCCCGTGCATCCTTTCCGGGTCCACGCCGATGCTGCTGCTGCTGCTGCCGCTGCTGCCGCTGCTGCTGCTGCTGCGGGCCGCATCCAGCTGCTGCGCGGCCGGCAGCGGCGCAGCCTTCTGCTGCAGCGCAGCGTCCACGTACGTCAAGTCCTCAGCAGCAGGAGCTGCTGCAGGAAACATGTACCGCGTCAGCAGCACGGCATTCAGCAAGATCGAGCCAAAACCCAGCGCCATCACCGTTAGCTGCAGGCAGCCCCACAGCGGCCGCCGCCAGTCGGCGTGCTGCAGTGCGCCTTCCACCATTGCTGCTCCTGCTCCTGCTCCTGCTGCTGCGCTGCGGGCCCGCGGCGCGGAAGACCAAGCCCCCGCTAAACCCGATAAGCAAAAATTAACTCGTTTTCAATCGAGTTTTTCTAAAAGAGCTCCTCTTAGTTCAGCGGACTTGGTGTTGCGGCTCGGCACGTCGCAGCGGAGCAAAGCCGCAACACCATGAAATACACAACGCCGCGGCCGCCGATCCTCCCGCAAGAGACGCCCAACGCGCCTGTCGAAACTTGCAGAAATTAAATTTCAAAATGCAATTATAACACACTCAAAAATAAAATGAATCGTGCTTTCAAAAGGAAGTTTCAGCGCGGCTCGCCCGCCAGCTGTCTAGGCATCGGCGTGTCTGTACAGCCGGGTCTTTGAACACCCAAAACGCAAATTTGCAAGCGTTCACTCTTCTAAAACTTATTTTAAACTCCAAAACAAATTTAATCAACTTTTTTCCCGCGCTCTCCGCCCCCCAAATGCCTCCGATCGCACCCCCCCGCCGCTGCCGACGGCCCGTCCCACTGCATGCAGTTTGTCGCAGCCGCGGAGTCTGCAGTCTGCTGCGCAAAACGCAACTTTCCCAAAAGACTAAGGCTTTAATTTTCTAAATTAAAACGAATTTTCCAAACATACACTCAGAAACTGCGTTTATTCGGCGGCTGGAGGGCACAGGAGGCGCACCACGCCCGCAGCCCAGCTGAGCGCTCTCCTGCCGCGCTGCAGCAAACGGCCTCCACCAGCTGCTGCTGCTGCTGCCGCTGCTGCTGCTGATGCTGCTGCTGTCTTCTTTCTGCGCTCTGCACGTCTTGCTGCGCTGCTGAGGTGTACCTACACCGGAGCTGCAGCAGCACGCGCAGCCACTCAATGCAAAACCCCTGCAGCTTTTCTTCGAGCCTCGGGGCCCCACAGACAGCTGCGGTCTCCCTTTGCTGCAGCTAGCCACAGCCAGCTAGCTAGCTAGCTAGCTAGCTAGCCACGGCTAGCTAGCTAGCCACTCTGGCCTCGCCCAGACACAGCAGGCCACGGCCTTGGGGTGCCTGTGCAGGTCTCGGGCCCACAACTTGAAGCTGCAAACCCTAAACCCTAAACCCTAAACCCTAAACCCTCGCGTAACTGCAACGTAACTGAAATGGATGCAGCCGCGAGGCCCTCAAATCTGGGGTAACAATACATTTATTGTTTACTTCTTTTATCTCAATATTCTCTTTTTCATCAAAGTTCAAAATGCTTCTTCTTGTTTAAAACAAAACAAAAACATCTGCAAAAGACGCTTAAAGGCTGCATGCAGGGTGCCCGAAGCCGGGCTCCAAACCCTAAACCCTAGACCCTAAACCCTTAAACCCTAGAGAACTCCCTCTGCCCTTTTCGGTCAAACCGCTATTTAGGGTTTAGGGGTTGGGGTTTGTAGCTGAGAGCAGCTGCGGCGGTGCGCCAGCGAACGCGCCAGCGGCTAGAGAAGCAGCACCAGCAGCAGCAGCAAAGCAGCAGCAGCAGCAGCAAAGCAGAAGCAAAAGTGGCGCGGAATATGAAGGGACTTGAATAGAAAGAATCGGGCTTTTGCATGCATCCCCGGAGAGCTGCAGCAAAGTTACAGAATGTTGCACGCTTTAAACAGTTTTAACTTTGGATTTGGAGTTTCTTTTGGTCCTTTTTGGGGAAAGTTGGAGCTGCAGCAGCAGCAAAAAGCTGCAGATCACGACGTCGGGGGCCCCCTGCTGCAGCAGCACTTCTCCCGCTGCTGCAGCGGCCCAGGGGCAGCAGCAGTTTCGATTTTCTTGAAATGAAGTCCAAATGGTATTTATTTTGGACTTGTGGTTTTGCTGCAGCAAAGAGAGGCTCGGGCGGCGGCTGTTCACGCCTGGGGCGTGTGCGCGCGGCCAGGGGGCCCCCAAGGGCCCCTCGTGGGCCTTTTTGGACGCCCGATTTGGTTTAATTGTTCAAAATAAAGACTTCAAAATGCAAATTGCGTGAAAAACGGAGTTTTAACTCGGGAGAACCGGGCACTGGCTCGGCAGCTCCCACGAGTTCTGCATGGGGGGCTCTCCGGGTGGCGGTTTGCGTCCCCGGCAGCTGGCGCGGGGCTTTCGCAAGTTTAAATTAATTTGAAATTAAATAAAAAAGAAAATAAAAGAAAAGCAGCAGAGCAGGGGGCTCGGGAGCTGCGCGGGAAGCCAGATGGACCCCCCTGAGCAGAGTTGCACAGACGGCCACTGCCGGCATCGGGAGGGGGGGTGTTCAGGAGCAAAAAGCAAAGAGACGAGGCTTAACAGGGGTCTTTGGAGTTGCAATTTAAGTTTAAATTGTTTGGAAAAGGTCCATTGGGGCGCAATTGGGGTGGCTTTCGCGAATCGGAGCAGCGCCGTGCCGCGTCTTGCAGCAGCAGCAACCGGACCATAGGGCACAGGAACCTCTGGAGTTCGCGGCGAAAACGCGGGCTCGGCAAGCTTGTTTGGGGTTTATCTTGTTTGTTTCTGCGGATTCTTATTGGGTTTCTACTTTCGAAGAGGTTTTAATCGCGGGAACCCGCTTATTCCGTCCGCTTTCCCGCAGCGTTGGAGTGTACGCCCGCCCAGCAGCTGCCAATCTGCGCTCGCACGGGATCGCCAGTTTTCCCCTTGCCATTTCCTTTCCCCGAATGAAGCTTTTTCTTTCTCGCCTTCTTCGACTCGTTCTGCGGCCCTCTGCGCGAGCTCTGGATGCGTTTGGCTTCGAATTCAACTTCCCGCCGCCTCCCTCTTGCTCGTTGGGTGGGCGCTGCGCTGCAGAGTCTCGCGGATTCTCCCTTTCCTATTGAAACGCAGCTCGATCGCGGCCTTTTTTCTTTGTTTGCTGCTCCGCGGGCCAAAATAGACATCTTTCGAGCCCCTCTGCGTGTCTGAGAGCCTTTGAACGCAGCAGAACGGCTTCCCCACCCGCTGCTGCCCCGCACAGCTGCTGCCCGCTTTCCGGCCTTTTCGCCTTTCCAGTTTCGCCTCTTTCTTTGCTGCGCCTTCTCTCTTCAATGCTGCGTCGCTGCGGCCTTTTCCCTGCGGCCTAATCGCCCGCCCGTCGCCGCGCTGCAGCAGCAGCAGCAGCTCGGGGTCGGCGGCGCCTGCTGCTGCGCTGCTGCTCCGCTGCTGCTCCCCCGCGCCTCTCCCTCCCCTCCCAGCCGCCCCTCCCGCCTTTTCCTTTCCTGCAGGACCTCCCCCTTGCAGATGTCTGGGCAGCTCTAGCTGCAGCAGCAGCAGCAGCAGCAGCTAAGCTGGCAGCAGCCGACCCAAAGCGGGGCCTTTTCTCCGAGCAGCAAGCCTACCCGTTCGCCCGAAGCCCTGAGTCCTCCTCAGCAGCTCTGGGGCCCAAAGCCCAGCTGCAGGCGTAAGCAGCAGCAGCAGCAGCAGCAGCAGCAGCTTTGGCCTTTTGGTCGAGAGGTTCAGCTGTCTGTACACTCCAAACACATGCAACCAATGCCGCTCACAGGCCCCCCGACTCCTCAGGGGACTCCCAAGTTTAAAAAGTCCCGCAGCACGAGGGCTTTGCAGGTGGGGGGCCCGGACTTGACTGCAGCAGCAGCAGCAGCTGCCGCTGCTGCAGCAGCTGCTGCTGCTTCCGAAGACTCGCGGAAAGAGGCAGCCAACGCAGCAGCAGCAGCAGCAGCAGCAGGAACAGCAACAGGTCAAATGGAACAGCCCGCGCAGAAGCGCCGAAGAAGCAGCACAGCCAGCAGCCGCCGCAGCAGCAGCAGCATCCCGGCAGAGGACAGAGCTGCAGAGCCTCTATGTGAGTTGCTGCTGCAGTCTTGCTGCTGCTGCTGCTGCTGCTGCTGCTGCAGCACGTATCTCGCGCTTCCTTCTGCTGCTGCAGCTCGCTCTCCCCTGCTGCCTGCAGACTCCAAATAAATAATTAAATTAATTAATTGAATTAACCAATTGAATTAATTAATTAAATAATTAAATGAATTAATTGTTTTGCTGCAGGCAAATCCTCGAGAACAGAAAGCCGGGCGGACTCGCTGTGCAGCACGCAGCAGCCAGCAACTCCGGTGGGCCACTCGGCGACTCCGGAGCGGCTTTACGCTTCGCCCTCTCCCCGCTCCGACTCTGCAGAAGCTCCCCCAGCAGCAGCAGCAGCAGCAGCGGGCGCAGGAGCAGCAGGAGCAGCAGGAGCAGCAGGAGCAGCTGAGAAGGCGGAGCAGCAGCAGCAGGCGAGCTCGTCGCCGACTCCCTCGCTGCCCTCCGACGCGGAGTGCTGCTCGCCCGCCGCCCCGGCCGCGGCGCCCGCCGCAGCAGAGCAGCAGCAGCAGGAGCAGCAGGAGCAGCAGGAGCAGCAGGAGCAGCAGGAGCAGCAGGAGGAGGAGGCGGGCTGCTACTGCGACCTGGAGGGGTACCTGCCGGGGCAGCGGGGGGCCCCCCTGGGGCCCTTCTACGCAGACCTGCACACGCTCGAGGAGAACAGGGGCCTCCCGCGGCGGCCTCTGAAGATAATGACGTACAGCAGCGACGGCTCGTACACGGAGGTGCTGTGCTGCGAGCCGCCCGCAGCAGCAGCAGCAGCAGCAGCAGCAGCAGGGGCTGCCGCGGGAGGCGCAGCACGGCGCACCTCGGCGTGCGCGGCGCCTCCGGGGCCGCCGCGCGCGCC